TTTCAACCGATGTATGGCCTTTTGAAGCTTTTCTATTTTAGCCTCCGCCTAAGTGGCTACTCTCTATTAGCAACTTTGGTGATGATGAATAGAAAGTGATCTATGTCATAGACCTATGAATATTTGGAGACATGAAATGGGTGGATGTGCCAAGTTCCTAGTATGAAAAACAATAAGAGCATCTATTATAATTTCCATTGTGTGCTTCCATTTAAGTTCAAACAGGATCTAGTGATATGTCATGTGCAAGGGTACATCTAGGGTTGTTATTAATGCATGTGGCAATAGTTGACACTACATGAGCTTGAGAGCGCACGTGGATCAAACTACATCTTTGCTATGCAATGGTTGCTTGCAATAGGGGTGTCAAATATACATCCGTCATCCTAAATTTACTCCAATTTGACTCAAATAATATTTGTTGTAGCCTCCTACAACAACAACAAAGCCTTAATCCCACTACGTGGGGTCGGCTACATGAATCCTTTTTCTCCATTGTGTCCTATTTAGTGTGATATTTTCATTTAGTTCTAATAAATTAAGATCATTTTTTTTATACAATAAGCCTAAGTCTTCCTAGGTCTACCTCTGCCTTCCCTAACATAGGTCGAATCTAAAACATCTACTCTCCTAATCGAATCATCAGATAGTATACGCTTAATGTGACAAAACCATCTAAGACAACTATTTGTAATTTTGTCTGTCACATGAGCTACACCAAACCTATCACGGATATATTCATTTCACATTTTTTTCTCCAAGTGTAAAGCCGCTCATCCACCTAATCATTCTCATCTCGACAACACTTAACTTAGTATTATGCTTCTCTTTTAAAGGTCAACATTCAACGCCATAAAACATTGCAGGTCTCACCAACCTTATAAAATTTTTCTTTCAGTCTAAGCAGTACTTTTCTATCATACAAAAGCTTGAAGCATTCCTCAACTTCAACCAACCAACTTGAATTCTACTGTTAACATCCCCATCAATATCACCATCGCTTTGAACAACAGTCCCTTAGATATCTAAATCATTCACAACTTTTAATAATTTGATCAACCAAAGTTGCACTTCTGTAACTAGAGCTACTACTACAAAAATTACATTCCATCTATTCAGTTTAATGTGATAACCCTTGCTTATTTGACACTACACTCGGGCATCAATGTAGCGGCCCTTGCACACTTTCCACTGTATTCAGGCTATACAGCGTGTCGCTTCTAAGGAACGCCCTAGCACTTACACAAAAATATTTGCTCTAGCCGACCTGAATAATTTTTTTTTTTGGATTTGGGATCAAAATCTCATAATATTTAATATTTTGGATCGGTTTTGGGTTGACCCACCAACCTCAAATTTACCCATTTACCCAAAATTGACCCTTATTTTACCAATTAGCACAAATTTGACTTGAACTTGACTCAAAATTATTTATTTTAAATAATAAATCAGATATAATATGAGTTATTATTTAAGCTTTAAATTTAAATTTAAGTTGGACTTGATTTACTTTAAGTTTGATATTAATTTTTATGTTTAGGTTTAGCTCAGTTCTAAGTTTAGTTTAAATTTCTATTTTAATTTGAGATTAAGCCCAAATTTATTTTAGTTTAGATTTTAATTGAGTTTATTTTAAGATTAGTTTAGATTTTGAATTTAGATTTTTTTTAGGTTTGGTTTATTTTAACTTAAGGTTTGTTCATTTTAGATGTTTAGTTGATTTTAGATTGTTTAGGTTTAATTATCTAATTGATTTTGATTTATTTTAATTTTTATTTAATTTAAGTTTGGGTTTAAAGAATATATTTAAATTTTGTTTAAATGAAGTTTGAGTTCGATTTAAGATTTTAATTTCAAATTTGATAAATTTTAATTTAATATTAATTGATTTTAATTTTGAATCAGTTTTAAACCCATTAAGATTTGTTATGATTTTAAAATGTGTTTAGCTCATATAGTGTGTCTTGATCTGGTTTGGGGGCTCTTTCATTGTTCAAGGTGGTCGTCCTTAAATGGTGACGAGGCATCACTAGTCTCTGCATTTGCGTGCTTTCCTATGGACAAGTGCGCCTCTAATTACCTCTAACATATATTTCTTGAATTAGTTGATTTGTTGAGTCACAAACTCATGGGCACAAGTCATGCTGTTTATGATTTCCCAAGATTGAGGTTTTTTTTCATGAGTTACTAATCATCTTGTTTGTGGCATGATCTACACTCACTATGTCGTTTAGGTTTTTGAACCCAGCTTTATCCGTAGAACACACCCAAGGAATAATGTGTATAAATGAGAGAAAGAAAGAGAAAAATAAAGAAGGAATGGAGTCTCGAGATTATAATATTAGTAATCTTCTCGAGCTTCCCGAAAAAGAACGATAACATTAATATTTATATATTTATGCTAAATAGAAGTTACATTATTAAATATTGATAATCTCATTGAAATCTTCTATCATGGATTAGTTGCAACAATTGTCAAGATTAGCATTACTATGACCTAATCATTTCTTGTCGGGTGGTCGTTTTTCTTACTCACACGATAGCAAAACATTCCTCCACTTATTCGGTCGGCTTTCTCAGTTTGGTCGCCTTGATAATTTGCTCCATGCCCACGGCCTACGGGTGCCTCTTTGCGTTCGCCGAGGTTAGTTCTTCGACACATGTTCTACCCAGAATCGTCAGATCCTATTCAATGAGCTTTGATCATACATTATACATTAACAATGCTAATGACTAAAAAAAAAAAAATAATAAATGTTTCTAAATTTTTCTCTAGATAAATCAGGGGAAAGAAAACCTAATAGAGTTAACACACATGACAAAACTTTTCTCTCTTCATTGTAGAATCACCCATACCAAAGTTGCACTTCTGTAACTAGAGCTACTACTACAAAAATTACATTCCATCTATTCAGTTTAATGTGATAACCCTTGCTTATTTGACACTACACTCGGGCATCAATGTAGCGGCCCTTGCACACTTTCCACTGTATTCAGGCTATACAGCGTGTCGCTTCTAAGGAACGCCCTAGCACTTACACAAAAATATTTGCTCTAGCCGACCTGAATAATTTTTTTTTTTGGATTTGGGATCAAAATCTCATAATATTTAATATTTTGGATCGGTTTTGGGTTGACCCACCAACCTCAAATTTACCCATTTACCCAAAATTGACCCTTATTTTACCAATTAGCACAAATTTGACTTGAACTTGACTCAAAATTATTTATTTTAAATAATAAATCAGATATAATATGAGTTATTATTTAAGCTTTAAATTTAAATTTAAGTTGGACTTGATTTACTTTAAGTTTGATATTAATTTTTATGTTTAGGTTTAGCTCAGTTCTAAGTTTAGTTTAAATTTCTATTTTAATTTGAAATTAAGCCAAAATTTATTTTAGTTTAGATTTTAATTGAGTTTATTTTAAGATTAGTTTAGATTTTGAATTTAGATTTTTTTTAGGTTTGGTTTATTTTAACTTAAGGTTTGTTCATTTTAGATGTTTAGTTGATTTTAGATTGTTTAGGTTTAATTATCTAATTGATTTTGGTTTATTTCAATTTTTATTTAATTTAAGTTTGTGTTTAACGAATAGATTTTGATTTTGTTTAAATGAAGTTTGAGTTCGATTTAAGATTTTAATTTCAAATCTGAAAAATTTTAATTTTTTGATAAATTTTAATTTAATATTAATTGATTTTAATTTTGAATCAGTTTTAAACCCATTAAGATTTGTTATGATTTTAAAATGTGTTTAGCTCATATAGTGTGTCTTGATCTGGTTTGGGGGCTCTTTCATTGTTCAAGGTGGTCGTCCTTAAATGGTGACGAGGCATCACTAGTCTCTGCATTTGCGTGCTTTCCTATGGACAAGTGCGCCTCTAATTACCTCTAACATATATTTCTTGAATTAGTTGATTTGTTGAGTCACAAACTCATGGGCACAAGTCATGCTGTTTATGATTTCCCAAGATTGAGGTTTTTTTTCATGAGTTACTAATCATCTTGTTTGTGGCATGATCTACACTCACTATGTCGTTTAGGTTTTTGAACCCAGCTTTATCCGTAGAACACACCCAAGGAATAATGTGTATAAATGAGAGAAAGAAAGAGAAAAATAAAGAAGGAATGGAGTCTCGAGATTATAATATTAGTAATCTTCTCGAGCTTCCCGAAAAAGAACGATAACATTAATATTTATATATTTATGCTAAATAGAAGTTACATTATTAAATATTGATAATCTCATTGAAATCTTCTATCATGGATTAGTTGCAACAATTGTCAAGATTAGCATTACTATGACCTAATCATTTCTTGTCGGGTGGTCGTTTTTCTTACTCACACGATAGCAAAACATTCCTCCACTTATTCGGTCGGCTTTCTCAGTTTGGTCGCCTTGATAATTTGCTCCATGCCCACGGCCTACGGGTGCCTCTTTGCGTTCGCCGAGGTTAGTTCTTCGACACATGTTCTACCCAGAATCGTCAGATCCTATTCAATGAGCTTTGATCATACATTATACATTAACAATGCTAATGACTAAAAAAAAAAAAATAATAAATGTTTCTAAATTTTTCTCTAGATAAATCAGGGGAAAGAAAACCTAATAGAGTTAACACACATGACAAAACTTTTCTCTCTTCATTGTAGAATCACCCATATGCTTAATATTTATAAATATTATCATATAATACTAAACACATAGATGACGCATGCAATGAGGTCAAATTATGAAAATAATTAAAATAATAATAACCAAAATAATATTCTTAAAAGAAATTTACATACATAATACATATTTCTATTGTATTTATATATTTCACATCTAATTATACATAAAGCCCAAATTTTTATATAACATACATCAACAATAACAATATTATTAATTTTTATAAATAAAATATATCTTTTCATATAAGTAATTAAAGTATCAAAAATATTATAAAAGTAAATATAAAAATTGAGTGTAAGATTTATAAATCCATACGAATTGGAAGACCATCTTCCACTTACTCATTAACACTCCACCGGCGCCATGTCCCCTATCATCGAACACCTCGTCCTCTTCAAAGTCTGCAACTCCGCCCACCCATCAAAGATCGACGCAATGGTCTCCTCCCAGCGCTGCCTCTCCACCCTCGACTTCGTCCCCCACTTAGCCGCCGGCCCCATCCACCGCCTCCGCTCCCCGGCAGCCGATTTCACCCACCTCCTCCACAGCCGCTTCCGCTCCAAACCCGATCTTGCCTCCTATGCCATCCACCCCTCCCACCTCGCGGTCGTCCACCAGAACGCTCCGGTCATCGAAGATGTCTTCGCCGTCGATTGGGTCGCCGATCTCGACGGAGACATCGTGCCGTCGCCGGGATCGGGGATGCGGTTTCTGATCGCGAAGCCGCGGGAGGGCATTCCGGCGGCGGAGATCGTGAAGGCCATCGATGGGGTTAGGACACTGAAGGTAAGCTGTGGGGTGAATTTCTCGCAGGGTAGGGCGAAGGGGTATGATGTGTGTTTGCTTTTGGGGTTTCGGGGGGTGGAGGAGATGGATGGAATGGAGGGGGAAGAGGAGATTGAAGCGATTAAGGAGAAAATTAGGGATTTGATCGATGGTGTTATTGTGGTTGATTTCGTGGTCCCTTCTTCAGGTCTTTAATCGGAAAAATCATTGTGATCTATGATTGGTGATCTACTGGGCCCCATCTAAATTTTTTTTTAAAAAAAAATTGAAATATATCCTGACCGTAGATCACCGTGATCTACGATCAGGATCAGACACTGCATGCAATAGCCGTACGCAATAATTTCTTCTTTAATCGGACCGTGCTTTAGGAGTAAAATCGGCTTACGTACTTAGGCAGTGCGTACATTAGGGGGAGTTTATTCATAAGATATTGGAGAGTTACGAGGGTTAGGAGGGTTATATCTGTGTTATAAACTTTGTAACTTCTCTATAATCTATTTGTAATCTACTTGTATCTTATAGTAAGTTTCACGTTTCTATTTTCATATATTTATATGTTACATATATGTTACAAAGAGATTATAAGAGATAATTAAGATATAACCCCAATACTCTCTGAATAACCTCGCGTACGCAGTCTTACATTACATAAGCAAATTTTTCTCATTATTACTTTAAGGGAGCCCAAATTTTAATTTTTCTGTTTTAGCTGCTACGAATCACTTTTCCAATGCCAGTTTTAATAATTTTCTTACAAAAACAATTTTTAAAAGGTTATTGGAACATTTACATGCATACCACTCAATTCTTATTGTATGTAAATGAAAAAGTGTACTAATGAATGAAAAAGTGTTTTTCATTTTTAAAAGTTAAATATTGATATTTCTTATGCAATATGAAGGGTTTGGGTGGCATAAATGTAAAAAAGTAAAATTTATGTGTTAGATATGTAAATACATAGGAAATGGGTGTTATGTCTGTAACAATAAACAAAGGATACTTAACTGGCTGTTTATATATTTTTAAAAGAGTGAATTTGTGTTGCATTAGAGAATAAATAATATCATTATTAATTTCAGTTCTTCTAAAGATTGGATGTTATATGCTAAAATGTTAAATTAATAGTTTATTATTTTATTTATTATAATATTTTTTAGTGCTGTATACTTTTTTATATATCAAACGTTGTTGGGCCAAAATTTTGATGAATTTATTTGGAGATAATTTTTATTTTATCCTTAATGAATTTTGTTGGATTCTAATTTGTCATTTATGGATCAAGTTTCGAGAGTTAGGGCCGAGTCAAGGAGTGAAGAAAGATAGAGTGGAATAAGTCTGAGATAAGAATCGAATGAGAAGTCTTTTTATTTATTTATTTTTGTTCCGTAATTGTAGAAACGTGTTTTGTACAATTATTGAAAAGATGGAACAATTATGAAAACCTTCGTTAATATCATTAATGTTATAATTTATTGTATAAATTTTATGTCATATATGTATTACAATTTGAATTTTAATATTGGTGGTAATTGACTAGTCGACTAGTTTGAAGTCAATCAACTAAGGTGATCGGTCGAGTGACATCTGTGCCTCCTGGAGTACACGTTGGTCGGTTGAGGTGTTCGACCGTATGATGATCTTGTTCGGTGTTTTTTGGCACGGTCAACCAGAACGGTCGATTGTGAGGTGGTTTTGAGGACCAAACGTAGGGTTGGTCGGTTGAATGTGATTGGTCTTTTTTTTTGTTGTGAGTAGTAGCTCAATTTTTGTTTGACTCGAGTCTTACAGGGCTCGTGTCTCGTCTTTCTGGTTGGTTTATCGCCTAGGTCAAATCTCACAATCTTTCAAGGTCTTAAGCGAATCTTATTGTGGCCGACGTAGGGTATCTGACGAGACTCGCTGCTGAGATGATTCATACCTCACTTTCGGCGGGTCTTACCGCAACCGAGCGGGGAACCATCTCCGGAGCTTGAACATATCCAGGGTTTGGAGACACGGCTTTGTGCTTGGCCTTGGATCACCTGTTGATTGCTTACCTTGAAAGGAGGCCCTTTCCTCGTGGTTGTTCATTCTCTTTGAGATTCATGTTAGTATTTTTGGTATATAAATATTAGTTTCTCGAGTTTTTCTGATCCTTGTTGGCGACAACTACAATAAGGACAGGAAAAATTATTAAACAATCGTTAGCAATAAATTTTTGAATTGATTGTATACATGACTTCCCTTAAGATTCAGTGTCATGTGTGCTCTATAAATAGATATGATTTAAGCCTTGCATCATTTGTTGACAATTTTTCTTTTCACAATTAAGGTGCACTTGTCCCTACCGGAATGTCACCATCGTCGCCATTCTCCTATCATGATGTTTGCTGATGTCTGTGACTAAGGAGTAGTCAATTTGTTTATCGTTATGCTATCCGCCTTCCCCAATTCTTCCAACTCATACCATGTTGGTGGATATAAGAGAGGAAAAATCACAGGAAGTAAGGCACATATTATTGAAAACAAATAAATATGTGAGAAACTTTCATAAGGAACCATAAAATCCTTATTAGAGGAAATTACCAGAGATTTCAGGTTGATATACTTATTCTTTACTCTGGGGTTCACATCTTCTCATAGGAACAAACCCCTATAGTTAATTACATCTTAAATAATTCATGATTACTTAAGAAAGATTCTGATTAAGGTTTAAATTTGTTCTCAGAAAGTTCAAAGATTATGTTAAGGAAAGGAAAGTTGTATTCCTATCCAAAGGATAGTGGATACCAAACTATCCTATAGTTTTGTTTAGTTGAGATTCATCCTTTTAATCCATGTTTTGAGTGGCTAGAATGATCGTCTTGCACAACAGAGTTAGCACTTCCTATAACATGTCAAGATAATCTAAGATGACGCTTATGGTGATGTTCGTCTTTTCTTCAATGGTCCTGCAAAAAAAAAGTTAGAAGAAAAAAGCATTTTTATTTTGTTTTGTTTATTTTTTTTTTGTTGATTTTTAAATTTTTAGACAGCCCGGTCAAAATGTTTATGGCTCTGTCATTCAGGGGTCATCGGCGTACCCTGATTTACTTAACCTAAGAGGTGGTCAACCTACTTTGAATGGAAGATTCTTGTCAGCAACCACATATTGCTTCTTTCAAGAGATCTTTGTAAACTAGGAAAGGCTGGGTAAAGTTGCATTCAGTGATCTTTGTTCATTATAGTTTTATTTAAGTTTTAATGTCTCTTTGGGTTTTAGGGGTTGAAAATTTTAGGTTGATTAAAAATTTTTAGTGAATTAATTTTTTTGTCATTCATTTTATTTTTAGTTAGGATGACTCGATCAAGATCCCATTGTCATTGGGGTTTAGGGTTTGATTAGTCCCGAATGTCTGGAAGATATTTTGTAAGCAACAATGGGTTACCTCCGACAAAATATCTTATTAAACCAAGTTGCATTTTACAGTTCAAGTTTAAGTTTTAATGTCTTTTAAGGTAGATCTTATGTCATTTATGTTAGTTTTGCAGTTTCTCCCAAATTATTCCCGACAGAGGTTAAGTGTATTTTTATTTTTTGAACAAAAAATTCTCTTTGACCTTTAGTCACTTAAGGTGAAACTCTGAATAATCCAAATGAACCTGAATTAGGTTATCTATCCATGGACTATCTTCAAACTTGTTTAAACCAACTTAAGTTTAGGATTGACCAAGATTATCCTAGTTTAATTGCAATCAAACCAGTTCTAATTAGTTAAAATTGACATGCTAAGTCAAATTTAAATCAATTAAGATTAATTTAAAGGTGAACCATGTTAAACTGGTCTGATCCATATTTAATAACCTAGGGTAAATTAAGTTAAATTAAACTATGACATGGTCAAATATTCATTTAAACTTAATTTATTAAGTTTAATTTAGGTTAGAATTAAATCAATCCTTAGGCAAACTAAGTCTCAAATAATGCTTTAAAATAAGTTTCAAGTTGAGTTGATCAGAGATTGAAGTAGCCCGAGTTAAGTTGAGTTAATCGATAATTTAGTTAGATTGGATAAGTCTGAGTTGAGCCGGATTAATTCGGTGATGCATGTTGACCTCACTTTTGGTTGAGGTCTAGAAAACTTCTTTAGTAGCCTAGGTCTAGCCATAGGACTTTCCTATTGACTAGTCTTAGAAAATTAGAAAAGGTACCCCCACCATTAAAAATTCAAAACTTTTCTTTTTACTCAACTTGAAATTCCACATAATGATCTTAACCTCTAGCATTTAGTAGATAAGATCATTATAAGAGAATTCAAGAAGAATCCCTATAGGATTACTTGGCTTTA